CAATTTTTGCCATTAATTTCCAATTTCATTGTGCTATGATCAGATATTACACATGGGAGAATTTCAATACTTTTGCAGTTACTTAAGAATGTTTTATGGGATAATATATGGTCTATATTGGAGAATGTCCCATGTGCAGCTGAAAGAATGTGTATTCTGATGTAGTTGGATGGAACACTCTGTAAACATCTACTAAGTCCAATTACTCGCAGGTATGATTCAGTTATATTATTTCTTTGCTGACTTTTTGTCTAGTTGATCTATCTTTTTGTGACAATGGGATGTTACGGTCCCCTGTTACAATTGTATTCTTGTGTATTTTGTTTTTATGTCCATTAATATCTGTCTTAATATAGTTGGGTGCTCCTGTGTTTGGTGCATACATATTTGTAATTGTTAATTCTTTCTCTTGAATTTTACCACTAATGAGTATGTAGTGACCCTTTTAAAAATCTCTGTTAATTATTTTAGGTTTGAAGTTCATGTTGTTTGCAAATAGAATAGTTACCCTTCTTTTCTCTGGGTTCTTGTTGCATGGAATACTGTTTTCCTTCTTTTGACTTTTAACCTGTGAGTTTCCTTTTGGGTCAGGGGATGTGTTTCTTGTATACAGTATATTGTGGGGTTATGTTTCTTGATCCATTCTGTCAACCTATTTCTTTCAATAGGTGAATTGAGGCCATTTACATTTATGGCTATCACTGATGTGTACTGGCTCAACTTTGCCATGTTATGTTCCAGTTGTTTGCCTTCTGCTTTTCGCCCCTTTTTAATTGCTTGTCCTACCTGGTGATTTCTTTCTGTTGTTCTGGAGACTGTGATCATTTTTATCTCTATCTAGTATGTCTTTCAATATTCTTTCTTATTTTGGGGGACATGAATTTCTTTAGTTGTTCTTTGTCATAAATATCTTGGGGTTCCCATTAAATTTGAATGCAAGTTTTGCTGTTTACAGCAGTCTGAGTTGAAAGTTGTTTTCTTTCAGAGCTTTAAACACCACACTCCAAGCTCATCTTGACTTAAGGGTTTGTGATGAAAAGTCTGTTGTGATTATAATCCTTGTTAGGTGAGCTGTGTTTTTTCTCTAACAGCTTTTAGTGTTCTGTTTTTATGCTGCATATCTGAGATCTTATTTATTACATGTCTGGGTATAGATTTCTGTTGATTGTTACTGTTTGGCATTCTATATGCCTCACTTATCTGCATATTGGATATATTCCCCATGTTTGGGAAATTTTCTGTTACTTCTGTAAATAGTTTAGTTATGTCATTTGCATTAATGCCTGGGTCTTCACTAATGCATATTACTCTTATATTGTTTCTCTTGGCAGCATCTTGGAGCTGTTGGGTTGTCATATCATGCTGCTTTGTTATTTTTACAATTTCTATCCTTTCATGATCACTAATTGCAACCCTGCCTTCAAGGTCCAAAATTCCATTATCAGCTTCATTTAAATGGTTTTGCCAACCTTGAATAGAATGTTTGTTTCTTGAATGTCTCTTTGAACTTGTTTCATGAATTCTGTTTGTTTTCTATATTGTTCATTCAAGATTTCAATCTGTTTCCCATGCTCCTGTACTTTTTCTCTATTTCTTTTTCAGCTGTGCTCAGCAACTCCTTTACTGAGTTTGCTATTTCTATCTTTACATGGAGAATACTTCTAATTTGTTTTCCTCTATAGCCTCATGAAGTTGTTTTTTTTTTTATTTCACTTATTTTCAGAGATTTCTGGTGTGTTACCTTTGAAGCCCTCTATTCCAGTGTCTACTCTACTTGCTTCTGGTGGACTAGATGTTTGAGATTTTACTTTGTTTTTTCATTTGGCCATTTTGACCTTTCAAGTTACTATTTGGTCCTTCAATTCCACTAGTGTCAACTCTTGGTAGTTTGTATCTTGGAGTCCTTATGTAAGGTTGATGTTTGTCCAATTGCTGGGTCCCACATTGAATAGGTGGGCCAGTCACCTGTCTTCCCACTGCAGGGCCTGTTGGGTGAGTACTATATTCTTCCTGGGCTGACAAGCCTAGTAATATTGATGTAGGTTAACTTTTAGTTCTTGCTATTACTTTATCTTCAGGTTATTCCGGGTCACCAAATCTCTCTGTCTATAGTGTTTGTGTTGGCTGAGGCCCTACTGTGTCCCTATTGTGTACCTCTGTGTTTTATAAGCCCTTTTGATTTTCTCCAAGTTGCAAGAGTCCTTATTGGCATACTCTTCACCCTGCCTGATGTTTTCTGTGTGCAGGAAGGAGTCACCCACACTCTTGTCAGACTCACCAAGGTCTTACAGTTAGTTGGAGGGAGCTTTACTACTGGCCCTATTTACCCACTGTACAGCTCTGTTTTAGGGACATTCTCACCACACTGACTGGATCTTGCTGAGATCTTCTGTTTGGGTGAGGGATTTACTGAATCTCTCTTCAAGCTAACAGAGTTACTCTGCTGTAGGCCAAGGTTTTGGGAGAAAGGGTGGGAGCTGAAAGTCAACAGCAGTATTAGGTCTAGGAGGTAGGGAGTGTCCCTGAGGGGCCAACAAATGTCCTGGGTCTGGGTGTCCGCTCAGCTCAGGCCGAGGTCCCAGGTCAACTTCCTCAGTGCTGACTGGATTTGCGCAGGAAGCATGCAGCTGTGCGGGCCAACGTTCGAGGGTAGCATGTGTTCTCCAGGGTCAGCAGGAGTTGTGCAGGAAGCTCATGGCAGTGTGGGCCAAGGTCCCATTGCAGCGTGGCATTCCTCAGTGCAGGCCGGAATCACACCTATTTCTGGGAATCACCTGGCCCACTTTTAGCTCCTGGGCCAGACTGCTGGCAACTGCTTGCCACTTGGAGCACCTCGGGTGTGGGCCAGTTGGGCCCGTGGGGACTCTGTGTCTTCTGATGATTTCAGATACAGGGTGTGGTCTTACTGCCTAGGATCAAAATTCTAAGGCTTCCCCCATGCATTGGAATTCAACCTGAGGGTGTGGTCAGGGCCCAGCCCTGCTTGCTGCTTGGAGTTCACTGGGCATGGCCTGGTTAGGCCTGCGGGTTTCTCTCCTGTGTTTTAGGATGATTTTAGATGCAGGGTGTGGTCTTACCTCCTGGGAGCCAAGTTCCAAGGTTTTCCTGTGCACTGGGGTTCCATCAGTGTGCTCTGTCAGGACTGGGACTCTGAATCTGTATTCTTGATCTCAATAAAAACTGCTTGCTTATGCTCATTAGGTGGCAGCCATTTTGCTGATCCTTGGTGTATGTGTCCCTTTATTTTCCCTTTGCATGCAAAATTGCTACACTCAGTAATTTCATGGCCTTTAATATTGTCTTATGAATATATACACATTTTCCTAAACAAACACCACAATTCCAAGAAATACAGTTCTTTCTTTTCTTCACACTGCCATTTACAGACGTTGTTCTTTTGCTGTATTCAACTCTTGTTTTAATTTTTAAGGAAGACATCTGCCACAGTGCTATGTTCATTTCATAAGCCTCTGCATTTAACACTGAGGTAGAGCTCATGGTACCACTGAATGGTCCCAGAGAACTTCTATCCCTGCAAACCTGTGGGCTCATCAGGCTATGAGCATTTGATCCCAGGACCAAGAGCTTTGGAGCTTGACAGATGGCCATGTCTCAGGCAGGGTCATCTGAATGTCTCTGCTTACCATGGAAGATACCCATGAAGGGGCTCTGCAATCCGGGAGGAGTCAGGAGAAAGAAAATCTGCCAGTCTCAGCTAATGTGCTCCATAATGATGCTCCACAGGAATCCAGACACAGCTGTTGCTCTGTGCTGCAGAGCTTGAGAGACAATTTTACATGGAGGCACCTTCCTCTTTTCCTGCCTCTCAGATCTCACTTTCCCCTGCCTGAAGCTCACAGAGGTTTTGTGTTGGTTACTACATTGGGTGACACTTTATTGTTTCCCATCCCATGCTCCTAGGTCAGTGAAGAGAAGAGCTGCTGGGATTTGGGAAGATAAAAAATGCAGGGGTTTCTCATCTCTCAAGCAGTGAGTCCAGACCCTGAGACCCTTGTTAAGACAAGCTGAGAAGGGTCCACAAACCCTCTAGCAGCACCAGCTCCCAGTGCAGACCCCAAGTTCCTGTTTTTTCTTACTGCTTGTCTGTTCTGTGCTGGACTCTGTGCTGTGCAGATTACAGAGACACTGCCACTCACAGTCACAGAAGGGGCGCTTCCTCTCCTCCACCAAGCAATAGAGCCCTCCGTGTCAGGATACCCCATTTCTCTTGTTTTTCTAAAAACCATCTTCTGAATTTTACCTGGGCACTGCCTCTTTCCATGCAATCCAGACATTTCCTAGGACTCTCCGCCTCGACATGAGACTTCACCCCATCGATTGATTCAATCTTCTGAAATGGCAGATAGGTGTGGAGTGTCTCTAATCCACCATTTTACTGATCCCTAGTAATGTATTTCTAAATTATCTTTCTTATGTGTGATAGGGCACTTACATTTTGTTGAATAGAAAAAATATAAATCAACAATTTATTTGACTAGGTCATTATTTTGTTGATAATGTTTTATAGAATCACAGTATTTTAGAAATGTAGCCAGGTATGGTGGCACATGCCTGTAATCACAGCACTTGTGAGGCTGAGGCAGGAGGAATGCTGAAAGCTCAAGGCCATTTTGGGCTATAAAATAAATTTAAGGCCACACTAATATGCATAGTGAGAGCCTGCCTCAAGAGAATGAAAAAATTGTAAGAGGGTTCCCAGTTATTACTGTAGTTAAAATCAGTCTGGGAGTTGAGGTGAATTTGAAGAGAAATGTGATTTCTTACTGTTTATTGAAAACAAGTAAGAAAACCAAGATCATATGTTAAATTTAGAATATCAGTTATTGAAATACCCTTTAACACTGAACATTTGTCCTCATGAAAATTTTCATAGGAAAAACAATGCATTTGTATGTGTCTTCAGAAAGAGAAATAGAAAATCTTGTTCCTTCATATACTGAATTCGGTAAGCCTGAAAAAAATTGAGCCAAGAGAACCTATTTCTTTGCAAGCATCAATTTATTGAAACAACTCTGAACTTCTCCCCCAAAGAGACACAGAGTAATGGTGTTTAAGGGGAAGAGACTCTTCCAAAGAAGAGGATATTATTTTCATTTTCCTTGATGAAAAATAAGAAAGGATGATCACAGCAGAATTCGTTAGATCTTCCCGGGGAAGATAGACTCACTGAAACACTAGTAGCAGCTGCAGCTTCTGTGCCTTCTTCATTAACCTCCACAAATGACTTGTGCTTCACCTTGGATATAGCTAAACCCCTGCCGCTGGTCATGCCTGAGAAGTCAGCATCCTTTGAAGAGAAGGCTTTTACCATTCCCATGTCTTTCAAGATGGTTTTGAGGTTGTAGCTCTCTTCCACTTTGAACCTAGGCAAGTGCAGATGCACCTCTGTCGTGTTCATTTGGCTTGTCCATTCCACTAATTCCTCACTGGTAAGTTTATCTTCAAGCTAAACATAATGGAAAAAATGAAACTGACTTGTTCTCTACCACATTTTAATAATAAATGAAATATATGAAAATATGTCTTCTAGCATTACATTTAACATACAGATGATGCAGTTTATGAGATATTATTCTAAGGAGCAGAAATAGCAGTCCAGAATAGATATTTATTTTATGATATATGTACATGTGTCTATAAGACACATTCAAAACTTATTTTGAAAATTAGCTTTGAATGTGTCTATGAAAGTAGCTAATTTTGTACTTTTGCCAAAAGTCAACTATCATGACTCCTTATGTTATCAACCTAATATATGTGTCTTTTTCAATGCTCTTTATTTTCTGATACTCGTACTTTATTACATACTGTAGTTATAGTAACTCTATTTTTTGTTAGCCATATTTGTAAAATTTCCCACATTGCTGTCTCTTTGTATCAAGTATGTATTTGTCTTTTAATACCATCAAATTAAAATTTAATTCATCTACTCAAATTATTAACTGTCCATCAGTATGTGTTAGACTCTTAAAAATATTTGTAATAAAAGGTAATTCATTTCTTTATTGAGTTTTTCATTATTTTGGGATACTTTGCTCTTAAAGCTTTTTCTTTCTTGGTAATTTAAAAGCTATTCTCTTCTTGGACAATAGAAAGAAGAAATTCAGTGCAAGTTTTACCTTCTGCAGGCCATCTACTTCATCTGGAAGCAGCACAACCATGCTCAGAGCTTTGCCTTTGTAAGGTATTTCAAGGATCTTAGCCTGCACAGCTTCCAAGGAGGCAAATTTTAGATGATTGGTTTGTTTCATCATCTTCACAGATTTGCTCGTATCCTGCAATAAATGCAAACAAGTAAACACCAAATTAGACACATTAAAAATTCCTTCATGTACTCCTAACTAAACTTACAAAAATAAAATAATGAAACAATATTCATGACACATTTTATTCTTTACTTACTGTGGCATTACCATTGCATATGTATACTAACTTTCTCAACGAAACTACTTTGAATTAAGGAAATAAAATATAGTCAATACCTTGCTCAGCCAAAATTTTCCTTCCACAGTGTCTTCTTCCTTGAATTTCAGATCCCATTGTCCTTTGAAATAGATTGCATTTACCAGAACCAGTTTGGTATCACTTTTAAGAGACTCACTAGGAAACAAGTCTTTGATCTTTTCTGTGAGAGAGGAAAAAAAAAAGGTCTATCAAGCAAGGTACAATTTGCTTATTGAAGGATACCTTGTGACCTATGATTAAGTGGCTGATAATTAATTATTCACAAAAGTGACTACTTTCGGGACTTGTAGACCTGTTCACAAGTGCAGTCTTCATTATGCAAGTCTCAGAGTCACCTCTGATGGAAATGCCAATGCTTAAATTGGGAAACACTTTGAGACTGTTTGTCTCTGGGTGATTATAATCATTTCACACAGAGTAGAAAAAATAAACTTTCCATATGCTCTTTCAATTTATCTTTTTCATTCCTTCTTCTCAACTTGCTTTCTAGTATTCTGATTTCTGGTGCACTCAGGAGAAGTAGGGTTTGATCATCCTTTATGAATACTAGTTCCATTCTGAGTGGAACTTCCTGCCATAAGCTTGGCTTGCATAAGAGATACGAGGCAAGATAGGTGACCATGTAGAGAGCTCTCTGCTGAATGGAGTACATATTTGTGATAGTGTATTGGGGACTACTAGTTCTCAGTGGTTAATTTTGCATACTTCCCTATGGGATAAATAAAAGTTTGAAGATATTGGTATCACTTTTGAGATTTCCCATTAACTGTTTAGGGATGGGCCCATGCTCTGCCATCCATAAGGCTAAACTAAAACCACTAAGATTAAAAAATACTCCAGGGAAAGGTTCTTCTTAGCATAAGATCATCTCTACCATCTTGAGACATCCAGTCACTGACTTCTCAGTCTTCCACTGGCCTTGAATTTTCTATTAGCTCCTCCTATCATTGTATATGCCCGATAAATTGTAGCTGCTTTGGAGCATGTTTCTGCCCATCCTGAGGCATTAACCTCCTAGTCCCATCTCATGAATCACTAAATTTGCCTGTTTCTTAGTTCATCCTTTTGCCATACTCCTTATACAGGCTGTTGGGCATCTTGGTCAGTTCTCTGAAATGTAGGAAGTATGGATCAAGATGTGGTTCAGGTAGTTCCAGCTTACCTATTTGTACCTAGTGTTGTTTACATGATGGCTGTATGTTTCCCCATTAGCAAAATGAATCAACATCATTAGATAGATCTTAAAGGTCTAGCTATGGTTAGTCCTATTATGTTGCCCTCAAAGGCTTATTGGGTATAAGGCTTATATCCTATTGGGTTTTGGGTAGTGACTGGATAATGAAGGCTCTTTTATCCTCAGATGGCAAATTCACTGATAAGGTCATAATTTAATGGCATTATTAGGAGGCAATGGATACAGAATATGGGGCCTAGTTGAAGAGAGTGAATGATAGAAAGGTGATATTGGGATGTATACTGATCCCTAACCCTTATTCTTTGGATTTCTCATCCTCTCTGCATTCCAAGTGCCATGAGGTGTACAGTTTTCCTCTGATACAACATTCTGCTGTGATATTTATGCCTCATCATGGATCTCAAAATGACAGAGGTGGCCAAGCATAGACTGAAACTTTTGAATCCATGAGCCAAAATAATCTTTCCTCCTCTAAGTCACAGTCTATCTTGTCACGGACTATTTTGTCACAGTCATGGAAAGCTGACTAGTACAGATCCCTAATATAAGACTGGTTCTAATTTATATTAAAGGATCTGATGTCAAAATGGGAGTACAGATTGGAATCCCCAGGAAATTGTCACCCAGCGCCATGTGCAAAACATTCTTCAGCTGTGTTTTCAATATTCAGCTGTCTGTGATTTCTTGCCTGGCTCTCATTTTCATTGCCCACATTTACTTGGGCCATTCCACCACCTACAGTGCTCCTGCATCCTCTTCCCAAACCTGTCTCCACATCCCCCCTCAGCACCCCACCTGCTGTGTCAGACACGGGACTCACTCCCAGGGCACTCAAGTGTCTGCCTAATGGGGCCCTCCCGTTAGGTACCATGTGTTTCTTTTTCCACCCAGGTGTTAATCTTCTTCCGACTCCCTTCTGCGTCAGTTTGAAAATCAACAGATTCCACATCAGCTAGGTAAAATTTCTTAATGTTATCCACATATTCCTTTGAGATGAAAAGTAGAAAGGAACAAATAAGAGTGGCTTCTTCATTATCAAGTATATTTACTTATAATTCCAGTTAGCTAAATCCAGACCCTGACCAAATGCATTATCACTTGCATGTTTTTATGTGCACGCCACATAAGCAGCATGAAAGGGGATCGCACAAAAAGTCACTGAAAGTCAAACCTTCTGCCAAAATGCAGCCAGGGTTGTTGGGGAGCAGATGACGGTAAGCAAATTTTAAGACTTTTACATTTAAGTAGATGAATTACTTCTTAGAGTTCTCTCTAGTAAATTTAATCTTTATTTATAGCATTCATGTTGGGAATTAAGTATCCTTTGGTACTTTCTATTTTTTTCCTTAAGAACTCTTCCATGTCTGGCTATTCCCGAAATATCCCATTACCCATTCTTTTCCGCTTAAAACATGCTATGTCTCAGTGCCAGTTCATTATGACATCTCAAAACCAAAATAAACTCACACACTGCCCACTTGATTATGAGAAGCTGGAACCCTCCAGTAAGGTTTTGTTGGGGTGAAGGAAGGGATGCTGTCGGGGAGATGCTGTCCTTGTGAATTAATCAGGATCGCTTGAGTGATAGAGGACTGAGATGAAAGTTGTGGAGAAGCAGGTTAAATTTACCTGAAGAAACTGGAAACTCTTATCTTTGTAGGCTTTGTTGGCACTGGCCAGTTCATATACATGCTTTGGCTTATTCAATTCAGTCAGAAGCTTATGAAATTGGTGATGCACACTTCCTGGTTCTGCAACCTTCAATATCAAAAACAGTGCTCATTTTATTAGTATTTACATCATGAAATACTAAACTCCTGTGAAAGCTGTTAGATCAGTACGTATTTGTCTGCAGTCTCAAAGACAACTTCTTGCTTACTCCATATTAGAGATATTTTATATCAGATAACCTTAATAAAATCTACTTTACATTCAATTTCTTCCAGGAAATTCTATCAGCTATAAAATATTCTTTTCTGATTTCTGTTGAGCTAAACGTTCAGTTTGTGAGATTGTCATTGATTTAAGTAGTTATAAATAGTTTATCTTCTATGCTAAAGTCTATGTTCCTTACACAAACACTATATTTCTTTTCCTTTTTTTTTTTTTTTTTTTGAGGGGTACCAGGGATTGAACTCACAACCTTGTACTTGCCAGGAAGTTGCTTACACTGTTGAGCTAAACCTCTGGCAAACACTATATTTCTAACAGCCATAGAATGGTTATGTTGAAGTTTGAATGCTTTACATAGTGTAAAATATGAAACACTATTGTACTCCTTTGTGTCCTCTTTGTTCTGCTGGGACATTTTGTTTGCTCTCTGTTGTCTTTCCCTCATGATAGTTCTCTGCATGTAAGATCAGTGATTACCTGGTACCCAGTTAAGGACTAAGCACAGGCAATCAAAGTCTTATTAAATGGAAATAAGAAAGCTGAAAGAATTAAGCAACTTCTCTAAGGACATTACATTAGTAGAAACAAATTTTCAATTTATGCCTACTTTACCCTGCATATTTTTATTTTGCAAGCAAAAGTTTTATATACTGAAATTCTAGACAGATATATTCCCCAGCAAACATTTTTAAAAATATACTTCGATTTGTTCATATTTCTTTTGCCTCTAAAATTACTTAAAATTGCATAATTTTAGTAGAATTATTGTGCTTAGGATAATTGTTACTTGATATTAACTAAAATTTCTTTGGCTTCCTATTTAAGATATCTTAAGCAGGAGTTGGTTCCCTTTCTGCCCAAAAACACTGGGCTGAGAAAACTGGGGCTCAGAGCAGTTGTGTCTTGCTGATGTTCACCATTTGTGAGGAGCAGAACCAGAATTTGATCCCAGCCTGCTTTGCTTCAGACTCACTTTCAGTAATATAATGCTGACTTTCTCTGATTGAAAAAAAAACCCACAAGAACATTAATTGTATAACTAAGATGTGAGTATAGTTTCTATGTTCTTATCTCAAGTTTAGGATTTTCCATGAACTCTGGATTTTCTCTGTTTATGTAAAATTCCAGGATCACACTATGGCCTTGTGAGAAACCTGCAACCAAAGTCCTCAGGTACTTACTTGATCAGTTTTAGTTTTTTTTGTTGACTTCATGGTGATTTCATTAAGGTGAAGGACCTGGAAGAGACAGAAAATGGGACAAGAAAATTTAACTTTAGAGATCTGTCTAAATCAGAGGAATGGAAACCAGAGAACTGTATTGTCTTGGAGCATGCCTGTAATCTCAACAAGCTGGGAAGCCAGAGGCAGGATGATTACAAGCAGAAGCCCAGCCCAGACACTTCAGCAAGTTTGAGAGACTATAACTTGAAAAGAAAGGAAAAGGAAAGAAAAAAGAAAAGAGCCAGAGTTTGGTTTGGTCCAGTCTCCATTAACAAGGGTGAGTGCCAGAGGTGGTGGTGATGGGAGCGTGGTCTTTAGAACGAAACCCTTACAACAAATGAAAATAAGCAAAAATAATAAACAGAAAAAAACCCCCAAACTTCAGGACATATCAGTTTGATCTTTAAAAGACCACAGCAATTGGAGCTGGGGATTTAGCTCAGCGGCATAAGTGCCTGCCTTGCAAGCAGGCAGTCGTGAGTTTGATCCCCGGTACGGATAAAAACTAAAAAGACAAAAAAAAAAAAAAAAAAAAAAGACCACAGCAATGCAGGTTTATTACCAGACACTTCAAAGAATGTTCATCCACTGGTTTTTGAGGAAACTTCTCATGGTGTGTCCCTTGGATTTAAGTTCAAGCATTGCTTGCATCATTAGTCCTCAAGTGTTAAGCTCCTATTTCATTTTTGGGCAATTATAGATGGTCTGATCACTTTCAAATGATATCAGGGCACACGGAAAGGCAAGGCAGACACTAGAGGAATGTTTTGTTTGTCCCATAGCTCTGGGATCACACAGTCCTGGGAGAGTTGCTTGTGCCCTGTTCCACCCATCAGGCCATCAGATCCACACATCCAGGCACACGTGAGCCAATAGAAAGGCTGTGACAGATCTGAACATAATGTTCCTGACACTTACCTTCTCTATTTCTTCTGCAGTGCTTCCTCTAGCCCCTAAGGAAACCATTGCTAATGCCACTGAGATACTGAAAGGGGAGTAGAAGACATTGTCCTCTGATTTTCTTAACTGTTGAAACAGATCAAGGGTGAACTTCATGTTTGCATCACTGAGTGAACTCATAGTGGCCTTAATGTGATCTGAAACTCCTAAAAAACATAAAATTCATGTTAATATAGCTGTATAAATGGAGCATCACTCTGCAACAAAATTTCCTGAATCAAAAAACGTATCTGGGCTTTTGAATTCTGACAATTAAGATTTATGTTACTGTAACTTTTTAAGCCTCCCCCAACGAAAAATTCATGCAAACAGTATTTGAACAATACTTTTGTACAAATAATAATAGAACATCTTTATTTTTCTTTCATTATCCTCTGTGCTAGGGTAAGATACAAAGAGTTTGTAACAAATGCCTAGAGGAAGATCTCTGTGTACCACCTCCAGAAAACTCTCAAGAGACATTTCTAACTTTTCTGTCAAGGGTTTATGGTTTTTAGTACTCATTTAAGTACTTCCAAGGATACATTTACTCAGAAATAAATTATTTAGGTAAAGGATAAACAGGTATTTTCATTTTTCCTCATCACAATAAATATGCAATCAATTTTATGCCTGTTATAAAATATATCATTACTACAATTCTCAAAAGCATCCCATAGCATTAAACACAGCAGCTAGAAATTCTTACCTGTGTTCCTTGGGGAAGTGAAAAGAGGGAGCCTGTATGCCTGTCTGTTTCAAATGGTGAAATACTGAATATATATATCCTCTGCTTGCCTCCTCTGTGTCATTTCCTTTGGTATTTCAAGTAAGGTAACTTTGGATTTCACAACCAGGTTAATTGTTCTCATTTTGAGCATGCAAATTTATGAAAATGGAAACGTTCAGATACTGGCACTATGCTTCCTTTTGCTTTAGAACACATTTTAGAACTGCAATCATTGGTAATCATTGATTCACTTGGAGAGCACATTGTACTTTTCTAATACCACTGAGTATATATTTGAAATTGTACCTTACTATTTTTCTTCTACTCCACCCTTCACTCTGTATATTCTCATAACCTTAGAAAGTATCTTACTTATTTGAGGAATTGAATTGTTTTTAAGTCACACTTAATTTACTAAACAGTTGCAAAGCATTATTTTCTATTGGTCTGGGGTCTAGTGGTCTTCAGAACTGCCCTACTTGGGCTTAAGGAAGTAAATTTATTGCATATATTTGCAAGAGGAAGAGGTACAGAGCCACTGAGAGGATTGGAGGCCCCAGACCAGGGCCAAGGAATCTGGAGGTGCAGTCCTGTTGTGTGGGTAGTGATCCTACCTCCTCCAGGTCTGAGGGTCGCTGCTTGATTGGTTATTGAATTTATTGCTAGAAAACCAAGTTTGATGGGTTAATAGGGGGACTGCGAGGGAAGAAGCAATCTAATTAAAGAGGGGCTTAGGTGGGACAGTGTAGGTACATGGAAGAGGGTGTCAAAATCACAGTCTGTTGGCTCAGTGAAGCTACATGGAAGCAGTTGTGTAAGCCATGGGCTGTTAGCTTCAGCTGCATGATGAGACATAGAGGCTGTTTCCCTTTGACTATTAAAGGGGCCCAGTTCCCTAATCTAGTCCTACTTAAGAGTCCCAAAAGCCAAAGCTGTTTTTGCTGTTTTAGTGCAGAAAGTTTTTATTCATCTCATGATGTTTCTTGTTGTCATTCTACATAACCAGGAACACAGCTAATTCTAATCCAAAGAGACACTGATGATATATCTCAGCACTCCGGAGAAAATGTTCTCTTGCTCCTCTTCAATGCTTTGTTCTTATTAGCAGTGCTTCTTGTAAGTCCTGAACCCCTTGCAGCTTTTGCAAATGTTTCCTATAGCTTAAAGTCATCGAACAAGTTATTTAATTTACTTCCTTGACATGTGGAAAACCAGAAGAGTAGTTGAGCAAGCAGAAGCTGTTTTGATTGGTAGTTGATGGGATTATATCCAGAAGATGAGAAGTATAAAATAAAAGAGGGCTTTATTCTGAGAACACAGAGAGAGAGAGAGAGAACCGACATCCCCCCAGAGACCAGCTTTCTCTCCCTGGCGGACACGTGGCGTGGGGGGTATATAAGTAGCCTAAGCTTAGGGTAGTGCCCTAGGGCCATTAGAGATGCACAAGTATCTCATTGGCACATGGTTGGCGCCAGGGGTAGATTCCTAAGGGTGGGGGGAGATAGAGTCACAGGTAAATCCCTAGGGGCAGGGGAGATAGGAGCTTCCTAGTTCTGGTTGAGGCTTTTCTGGCTACAGTGTCCTGTCTGGGCCAAAACCCTTTCATATGTTCTAAATTCACAGGACTACAACCAAGGTGGAGTGGCCCCTATCTGGTCTACTTGGCTAACCCTACAGTGGTCAAAGTTGCTGGACTCCCATCCTGGTTTCACATCACTCAGGCTAAGAGGTGCCCTCTCAGCCCTAAATCTGATCATTCTCAGTGGTCATCTCATCTTCTGTCACCCACCCATCTGCGTTTCACAAAGGCCTCACAGCCACAGTTAACAGGCTAAGTCACGTTTTGTTATCCACTTTGGTTCCTAATTTCTTACGTTCTATTAATGGTCATTTTTACAGCAGGATTCTTGACAGTCTTTCCTAAAGACTCCCACATCATGTGTAAGATAATCTTTATAATGTTCTATGTGATGACTGTCGTAGTTCTTTCTGCCCTCAGCTGTCCAGTTAAACGTGATATCCCTGAAAGCCTAAGCCCTTTCCTTCCCTATACTGGTACAGCCACCGCCTTCCCTACTCCTCCTATTTTTTTCAGTTCAACTCCTGGACCAGAGACAAGTTTTACACACCTACCCTCTTAACTTTTATGCTTTCAGATGGGGGAGTAATCACCTCGCATAACATCACTCCTCCTAACCTCACACTTATTTTTCAGAATTCTATCTTACCATGACAATGATCCTACCTCAATGTTGCCCTGATATAATGACATGTCTAAATCAAAGACACCTTCCCTCTACCTCACCTGGGTCCTTAAGTATGACAGTGCCATGTCTCCTTATAACATCATGTCTTTGTTTTTCCAGTCTAACATATGTGCATTCACCAGTGAAGTTGTTCTGGCTAAAACACCTGGCACCAGAGTCTATCTGGGCATCAACCATCATCCTGTCGACTCCCCTAGACTCCAGTATAGTACCCCTGCCAGCAGGAAGTAGTTAAAGAGACAAATCTTCGCCCCTTTTCATAATAATAATTATAAGATGGGATATGAAAGGGTTTTGGCCCTGACAGGACTCTGTAGCCAGAAAAGCCTCAACCAGAACCAGGAAGCTCATATCTCCCCTGCCCTTAGGGATTTACCTGTGACTCTATCTGCCCCCACCCTTAGGAATCTGCCCCTGGTGCCAAAGGTGTGCCAATGAGACACCTATGCATCTCTAATGGCCCTAGGGCACTACCCTAAGCTTAGGCTACTTATATACCTTACATGCCATGTATCCTCCAGAGAGAAAGCTGGACTCCAGCGGTTGGGGGTATGTCGGTTCTCTTTCTTTGTGTTCTCAGAATAAAGGCCGCTTTTGTTTTATACTTCTCATCTTCTGGATATAATCCTATTAGTAGTGTCTAATCTTGCATAGAGAAACAAAACAAAAATTGCTTGTTTTAGATGTTAAGATACTATATTTTAGCCTAATCTCATCATTTATTATATTGGCTATAGATTCATGGTCTGGATGCCAGGATAAAATGCCTGGAAGACATACTCGGAGGAGGTGATATGTTTTGTAATGCCATTTTAAAACTCATTTTTTTTCTGGAGAATTCTGTGTATGTGTGTGGTATCACTCTAGGTAGAATAATATTAATAGATACCATTTGATGAGTTGGAGTATATTTTCCCATAGATCCTACAAAAATGATTGAACTAGGTTTACTTGAGCTGGAGATACAGTTCAGTGATAGAGTACTTGCCTGGTATGTGGCTGGTCATGTGTTCCAAGTCCTATACCATAGGGGAAAAAAAAACAAAACAAAGAAGTTATGCTTATTATCCCTATTTCACAAGTGATAGAATAGATGCAAAGAATAGTGGCTCTAGTTTACTTAGGAAGTGAATTATCAAGGTGAGATTTCAAGGCAGAGAGTCTATGTGAAGAGCCTCAGTGTTTATCTGCTGTCTTACACTGCATAAAAAAGGTGTCTGGTTTTGACACCCTCTTCCACATACCTACACTGGTCCACCTAAGCCCCATTTAAATGATAAGACCATCTTTCAAATACCTCAAAAGACAAAATATTTTCCCACAAGATATGAGGCACAAATAAAATATTTGCCCTCGTGTTGCCCTCAGTGAGGTCATACAGGAAGCCAAGGAGAAGACTGGGGATGTAGACACCCTGACAACATCTAAGAGCAAGTGTTAGGGAAGTAGAGTGGGGATGGATATGGGATAATTTCCTCCCAGTACAGATCCCAGAGGGAAAATAAAATCTTGCTTAATCTTATTAGTCAGTTTCATGTCACTATATTGAAATATTAGACACAACATACTTAGGCAATAAAGGGGAGTTTCTTTGGGCTCATGGTTCTGGAATGTCATGCTAAGATTAGGTCTCCCCATTTGTTTCCCCTTTTAGTAGAGATGTTGGATCAAAGTGTGAGAGATGTTAGGATGTTGGATCAAAGTGTGAGAGATGTTTGTATCACAAGCTAGGAAGCAGTCCAGAATTGCAGATCAAGGCTGTATATTCCTTCCAAGAGCTTGCCCTTAGTGACCTCTTTAGGTTGAATATGTATATGACTTTCCCATAAGGTTGTATATGTTAAAGGTTCAGAGCTGCACTCAGTGGTATCATCAGAAAAATGAAGCATTCAAAATAGGATCTTTGGGGACAATATACATACAAACTATATCAATGATCCTTTTTTTCTCAGATTTCTCTGTCAAGGTGGTGCTTAAGAGGAATGAGAAATTTTAAGTAGGAAAGCAATGGGTCAACAAATAGTGTGTTTCATTGTATACAGTGTACCCTGAAGAAGTCTGTAGGAGGGACAGGGGTATATAACTCAATATCTGCCTGATATTTATGTATGAGAGATGCTTATTCTTAGATTAATTACATTTTCTATATCCACTCATTTTCCTGCAAGTGATGTGATTCCATTTTCTTATGGTTGAATAATATTCCATTCTGTTATATATGCCACATTTTCTAGATCCATTCCTGCATTGAAGGGAATCTAGGCTATTCGTGTAGTTGATTTAGTGAATTGTGCTACTAATATGCACAGGTATGCTAGTTTAACTGAATAATCTTTATATATATTTGTCTGTAGTACATTTATTTGATGCATACATCTACTGAGGGAGATCTAGGCTGCTTGAACTACTTGGGTTTTGTGAATCATTCTGACTTTAATGCTTTCCATTACTTTCTTTTTTTAAAATTTTTAAAATTTTTTCTTTAATTAAGACAAACATAAGAAATGACTAAATAATTTTTTTTAAAACAATAAGGGGGAGATTAAGATAAAACAGGACAAAGCAATATAACAATAGAGGTTAAAGCATGACTGTTTCAGCAACCTAGTACTTCACCACCATATAACCCGACTTAATAGTAGTTACCATAGTGTCTGTCTTTTTCCTTGAAATGTTTGGATAAAACTTCATATACTCTAGCTTCAAATATTTTCATATCAAGAAGCCCAGAATAAAGCCTTTCTAATTAATGAGTGAAAACTTTATAAGGCTTCAAGTTCACCTAATGGGGAATCA